ATCAATAAATGCCTAGGTAGTTACTAGTTACACACTTTCACTCAGAATATTAATAATTATAGTATATTAGTTGTATATACCTGCAGTAGGTATGATAATGCCAGTATACCAGTATACTTAGTATACTAATACGAATCTATTCACTATCTTACCATTAACTTTATTTTTTTTTTTTCATTCCTCGAACGTGGCCATCACCACAACATCATAAACAAATAATGTGAAATAAAAATGTTTTCTTAACTTCAAGCATTAAATAAAGACCCAATGAAAATAGACGCCCACTAAAATTTTACCGGCTTCACCCCCCTACCACCTAGTTCCGCCACTAGTTATTAGGTATATTTTAGTATTAGAAAAGGGAAAGAAAATTAAGTTACTTACCTATATAATATACGTAGTCTAATTAATGTATTAATGTTAATTTATTGTTGTAGGTATATAAATGTGTTATTCCTTGGGTAAAACATAAGTTGGATTCTAGAAAAAATACATTGCCTCAGTTAATAAAAAATGTACTATTACCATACTATAGGTATAGATAATTTTGTTGGTTGGTGGACTTGATCTGGATAATGAGTTATCACTTATCAATGAGTACTACAGAATGGTTCGACCAGAAAATCAACGAATGGCATTTTGGACCAAAATTGACTACAGGCCGTTACGTATCATTAGCAGTATTAAAAAAATTGTTTTGTATTTGCTACATATTCGAAGAGTCCGCAGTCTACTGCTATGCTTCTATAATTTATACTCACAATCACCTAGTATTATTTATATATATATATATTTATATACAGGGTGATTTTTTTATCGAAGAACACTCATTATTTCAAAAAGTATTAATGTTTAAGAAAATATTTTTTACATAGTTTCAAGTTGTTAAAAAACAATATTTTTATTAAAAAATTATATTTTTAAATATTTTTTATCCTTTTAATTTTTTAATTTTTTTACTTTTTTGAATGACAACATCTAATTTTAATTTGATATTCAAAAACAGAATATTTTTCTGAGTATTTCGATACATAAAAATTGAATTTAGGGCAATTAGTTTATGAGTTATAAGTATTTAAAGTTTAGATGAGCGGAGTAGAGTGGTACGGGGTTACCCCGCGAAATGTTTGTCCTCTACTCCGCTCATCTAAACTTTAAATACTTATAACTCATAAACTACTTGCCCTAAATTCAATATTTATGTATTAAAATAATCAGAAAAATATTCTGTTTTTGAATATCAAATTAAAATTAGATGTTGTCATTCAAAAAAGTAAAAAACTTAAAAAATTAAAAGGATAAAAAATATTGTTTTTTAACAACTTGAAACTATGTAAAAAAATATTTTCTTAAACATTAATACTTTTTGAAATAATGAGTGTTCTTCGATAAAAAAATCACCCTGTATATATATATATATTTATGTATATTATTTCATATATTTCTGCAGCTGTGTTACTTGTTAACCTAATAAGTACCTAATAAGTCAATAATGATATAACAAGCATATACCGCATAGGCGCAACTAGACCTATATTTTTGGGGGTGCACAAATTGTAAAGAATTCCCAGATCCCCAGACCCACACTGTATATACAGGCCCTGTATGTAACAGAAAGATCTGACAAAAAAAAAAGTTAGGCTACTTAAACGTATGACATAAATTGTTAAAAAAATATTTGGAAAAAAGTTATTATGTTCTAAATTAGTTTACTCAAAAAAGTATTTATATTTTAAAATATTCTAAAAAATAAATTACTTGACTTAGATAAATGTTTCTTACCATTAAAATTTTTCTTATAATCAGATTTACAAATTGGATATTTTAAATTATTTTCACTATTAAAAATAAAAATAATTTTTTTTTATTTTATACGTGTAGTACAAATTAAAATAAGGTAAATTCAGACTTAAGGATAACGTGGTCCATCGCTCATCTCTTAATAGCCCAAATTAATAATGCCATTAAATTATGTTTGTTCAGTTATTTCAGTTTTTATCAAGGATTTTTTACCCTGGATGATTTGAACTAGAAGTATAGAACAGTTTAAAGCTGGAAAATCTAGATTGTCAATTTCTTGTATTTTTTTTTTTTTTTAATATAGATCCTATAGGTCTTATTATTTATTTAATATTATAAATAATTGAATAAACATTGATAAATTTAATTTTCATTAAAAAAAAAAACCTTAACAGTTTTTTGAACAACACAATTTTACTGAAATATTATCGGCTATTTTATGTGCACCCACTTGTTTTATAAATTATAACAAATTATTAACAAGCTCACATTCATGGGCAGTATTTTATCCTGCCAATAATTAAGAGAAATATATTTTATTGATTTATAAGAAAATATTATTAGGTATGATCATAGTTACACAAATAAGTAATAACGATGTATTTGTGACTTTCAAGTCCATACGAATAATATTTATTTAAAAACAAAATAACTAAACTTTTTTTTTCTTAAGTATTGAATCCATATTTGATAATATTTGAAACTGAAATACCTATATAAAAAATTGTGTGCAATAATTTAAATTTTTGAGATTTTTAGGTTCCTGGTAGAAAAACTTACACTTATGTGGAATTTTGTATTCAATTTTCAACCTTATAATGACAAATTATATACATTTTCGACAAGAAATAATTTGCACATTTTTGAAATTTCCATGAATTTTGTTAAAATTTGAACTTTTAACCCTCTTAAACAAAATTTTGCCTAAGTATTTTAATATTTTTAAATTTATATAAAAAAAATTATGTAGGATCTTATATTAAATTTTAGAATTTTTAACTATGATTACATTTTTTAACATTTAGCTAAGATTAAAATAATTAAAAAATGTCAAATGCCTATAAATAACTTTAAAGTAGTCTAAATATTTTGAAAATTTATTTGTATCTAAAAAATTATAATTGAAGTAGGATGGCTAACTTCACGGTCAAAAAATGGATTTAGTGAACTTGCAAATATCAACACATCGTTTAATATATACTTAAGATATTAAAGAGCAACAGAGTAGTCTACATGGAGTTAGCCTGATCAATATTTCACAAATTATAGCAATTAACAAGCTAAATATTGGTGAAAATTTGGAGTGGGCCAACTTGCGTATGTTTTTAATACTTTGCACAGTGTACATAATTAGTAATGTTTATATTTGAAACAATTATTTTTACATCTCTATAAAGTAAATATTAAGGAAGTAGGGTACAATATAAAAAATACTTTTTTTTTGTACGAAAATGATTTCCATGTATTTCAACGTATTTTACGAAAATTTTAATTCCATACAAAAGATTTAAAATAAATCATTTTAACACAGTTTTGTAAAATTGATATAAAAAATTGCTCAAGTCTTATCTATAGGTATACATAAATATAAGAATTAAGTATTATATTAATTGCAGTCAATAGTAACTAATATATTATATAATTATAAATATAAAATAAAATTATGTTAATAAATTGTATATTCCCGATAATTTGAAACTTGGAGAAAACTCAGTGAATTGTACTTCAAAATGTTTGCAATCAATGTCCTTTCTAATAATTACAATTATTTAAAAATATATATATTAACATTCAAGTTACCGAGAATCTACAAGAATTGTACATTTAACAAAATAATTAGTGTAGACAGTAAAAAATATAAATATAAAGATTATTTTGATTTAAGTTCATAAAGTATTGCAAAAGTAATAATGTTAACAACTATGTTTTATACTTAAAATGATAAACACAATATTGCAACAAAACATATAAATATAAAGATTCAAATGAGGTTTTGTTTAATTAATACAAAAGACATAAAAATTAAACACTGGAATTATGTTTTATGAGCTTAATGTTAAAATTATGGCAGTTTTATAACAAAGAAATTTTCATAATTGTCTTAACAGAAAAACAAATTATCAAATGTTTTATTTTATTGGTTCTTGATATTAACATTGAATAAATATTTACGTACAAATTATTTAATAAGTTTGTTCAAAGGACAGATTTTGGTAACAATATAGTTGTATAGTTGTTATTAGATAATTAAAATAGTTTTGAAGAAAACAGTGTCAGTACGGCTCCAGTCACAAGGCCTTTATGCCTAATTCTACTCTAACAATAAATTGTTATATCATAGCTACCTATAATGATTAATGTTAATGCCAATAAGGCCTAGCCAACACTGATAGAATAAAAATATACACACACGCACACACACACAAACACACATATATATTATATGTGTAACAAATTATCAAAGACAATCATAATATTACATAAATAATAGTAGTAGAAATTGCGGCATATAAAATGTAAAAAAAAATATAATTCTAGCTTCACATCAATAATTATTATATTGCTAAGAAATATGGATAACTGTTACTACTTAGTAATTATTAATTATATTGTTATACAAGCCTAAATAATGATTGTTATATTTTATATGTACACATACATTTAATTACCACCAAAATTATAATTATATACATGACATTTAGTGATCCTAATTATTTATTAATTAAGGAGTGCCCGCTTTTGATAACTAACATCATTGATTATAAAAACTATAGATTTTTCAATGGACGGTTTTTCAGTGGCATGAAATAGTTACTGCCGGTTGATGGCAAGACAAAAAACTACTAGCTATTACAATGGTACTGTCCATTACTAACATGGGTGGTCGTGGTTTGAGTGCGGTGGCGTGGTTAGTCGTCAACAGTACCATTGTCATCGATAATAGTTTTATATCTACCATCTACCGGCAGTATATATTTTGTGCCACTAAAAAACCGCCCAGTTAGCAGATGTATTTATAATCAATGCTATTATGTACATAGAATATTGGACTTAAAACCAATATTAGATAAACAAAAATTGGTATCAGATCATCACTAATTAATAAATGTCCTGTGAATAGTATAACATATATTAGTCTGTAAGAAATCTAAATTTAAAAACAAATGTTGATACATTAATAAACCAAACTTTAAATTTAATTAAACATACGCTTCAGATTTACCTGAATTAGGTCGAATTCGTGCTAAGAATTTTTGCCAACTATTAACAGTTTTACCAGACCAAATCCAAACACTCGATGTAAGACCAACTAATAATGAAACAAAATATTTAGCTATAAACACCTCAAAGCTAGGTTTTCTTCCTGTGTCAATGGGTTGAGAAGGACATGGCAGAGCATACTTTGGATCTTGACAAAGAGTAGAGTGCCAACTAATAATCCATGAACTTAGATTGACATGTTCATAAACTAAACATAAGATTTGAGCCACAGCAGGTACTGTGTATAGAACACTAAAGACGCCAATACGTATCATCAATTTTTCCAATTTGTCAGTACCTCGGGTACCATCGTGTTTCATTACTTTTCGAATGCGGCATAAAGAAACAAATCCAGCCATCCAAAATGCTGTACCTAAAATCAGGTAAACTACTAAAGGAATGAGCACCATGTCTCTTACAGCCGTATCATCACTCCAAACAGCCATTGAACAGATGCCGGTTAAAACATCACCTAAAATATTTAAACAAAATATAATAATTTTCAAAAAATTTCATGAATAACCAGATAAATGTAAAATTTAAATCTGATGTAAATTAATCTAATGTAAATCTGTACAGGTACTCATAAAATGATCTTTTATTTATCTATTTTATAAAATTTGTTATTATAGTTTGTAATATTTGAAATTGTGATGAAACTATTGTTTATGACTTGTGATTTAAATCATAATTTAACAAAATTATAAACATCATTGAATAATCATAATTTATTTTGATTATTTATAATATTTTAAAGTAAATTCTTGGTCTTAAAAATATAGAACACTACAATGCAACGACTTCCTACCTACCTATCTATACAAACATTTTATAATATTACGTTTTACCGAGCGTTTTACATTGATCAAGAAGGATTTAAAAGCTCTTCAACCAAGGTATTGTTTTTCATGTTACATTAGGTTTGTATAATAAAATTGTATCTATACGTTAATAAGCACCTAGGTACCTAATACGCATACTTAATATAAAACTATATTATGTGAAACATTTACTTACCCTCAATTTTTCCCATAGCTAGTACTGTAATTGTTTTAGCAGCAGGAACCGTCCATGCCGCCAAGTGGAAATAATGAGAATTTGCTTCAATAGCTTCATGTCCCCATTTAAGTCCCGCAGCAAGGAACCAAGTCAATGTCAACACAACCCACCATACAGAAGATGCGGTACTAAAGAAATACGACACCATAAATAGTACAGTGCACCATTCATTATCGTCTGTACCTTGAGTGATCAAATTTTGCTTATTGCACGCAATGTTGTTTCCCGATAAATATCCAATCAGATAAGATATGGAAACCATCAGATAACATAAAGACAAGAATATTATTGGTCGTTCTGGATATCGAAAACGGTGTGTATCAATGGCAAATGTTAATGATGTAAACAAACAGGATATAGCACACAACACGGACCACAAAGCCACCCATGATCTAGCTTTGCGCATTTGATCTAGACTCCAGAATGCATCACACGGTACTCCACAATCTTTTACTACTTTATTGCCAACTTTTAATGTATAAACTTGATTGCTCCTGTCAGATCTTTTTTTGTTACTATTAGACTCAATTCGAAATTGTTGTGGGCAAACAAATCCAATATCAAAGCTATTAGGATTATTTGAATATCCTTGGTCTCCTGAAAAGTGTCTAGATCCGGGTGCTGTCAAATCTTTCCCGTTTTGTTCTATTAAACCAGTCTGTGGTGTTGGAGAAGGGTTTGTTGCATTATTCTCACCGACGCAGAGTTGACCATTTTCAGGAAACTGGTTACATTCCAGATTATCGGGCCATTCGATTTGAAAACGGTTCATGATTGCCTCACAGCCATTGCGCGCCGACACGCACAGTGACCGACACGGTGGAATAGGTTTCTCAATTATAGTACACACTGGAGCGAAAACGCTGCACAAAAAGAACTGCAGATCGTGCGAACACTGGATTTTCACCAGCGGATAGTACTGTTGCACTTCGAAGCCCGCTTCGTCTTGACGCATTTGGCCCAATATGTTGGGCATGATTGTTTCATTGTACGCTATGCCCATGCAAAACGGTATGGTGATGGGCTCACACCGGCCGTGGTGACCGGTAGCGTCGTCGCTGATCGAACCGTCTTGGATCTGTTGCCTCGACGAGTGGGTAAACGAAACCGAACATCTCACCATAATCAACAACACCGTTGCTGCCATGAATGGCGGTGCCGCAAAGCGCGGTCCGTACGACATCATGTCGAAGCGACGGGATAATGGGGGTGGAATTCACAGAGAAACGCCGAAAACGGTTGGTCGGCCGGCACCGGGGGCCGTGAACCTAACGACAGCGTCCATTTCGCCCAACACTCGGAGACTTATAGTTGGCCATGCGATTCGGCCGTCGGGCGGAAAGGGACGCGCGCACCACACGACGACGGACAACAGACGATGGCGAATACTAATCAAAAAACTATTAATCAACGCACAAACACTATCCGTTAACGACAAACGGGACGGATTAAATTAAACAACGAAAATACCACAACGGAGTACGGACAGGTGTGACGCGGGGGTGTCGTGTTATTGTACTATTACTGTATTACTGTAATATGCACAGTGCACACATTACACAACTACAACTACACAGTACACAATCGAATGCATTCAGTTCCGTTATCACAACATTCGGTGCCGGAACTCGAGCAACAAGAACCTGGAATTCACGGGGAGCTTGTAGACGTCGGTATATACACCGTCCGTGCATAATATTACTATACCTCCATCCGTTGATAACACGATGTGAATGTGTGTGTGTGATAATCACAGACATGTTCATTATAAGTTCATTATAATATGTTCATTGTTCATTATATGTTCATGTATATAACTATACTATACTATACTATACTAATTAGTATTAATATATGTGGTGATGCTATTATATTTTATCATAGCAGACCGCGATATGATTAAAATATTACAGAAATTACAGAAATTACCAAAATTTGAACAAAAAGTCGTTTTTTATTAATATTTTGTGAATATTACCAAATACTATAAACGATGTCTGTACGAGATTATAATATAAAGGTATATCAAGAGTGGCGATACAATTTTTAACATATCCCTCCAAGATTGTTAAAATAGTTGCCTATTTTACTCCTTTGTCATTATCCTAAATAAAAAATAAGCCATTTAGCCATGTTTGTAAAAAGTACAACCTACCTAAATACATGCAAATATGCAATAACTACATTACATAATTTATAGATATTTTATTAAACGTCAGTAATAATTGTTAGGTGAAAAAGCGCAACAGTTGAATCAACCAGTATACATTTAAAAAAAAAACATTTTTATCAACACTTCCAAAAAATAATTTAAAATGACTATAAATAAGTTGCCTAAATATTTTGAACGTTTCATTGAATATAGATAATTATAATTGGTTGAATGTTTCAAGTTTCTTCGATCAATATTTTTTGTATAACAACTAAATAACAAAAGATGGTTGACGATTACACAATATTATACATGCGTTTGAATATACTGTAATGTCATTAAAATTTAAACTCCAATCGCTCATAAAAAAAATGTTTTCAAAATAGGTATCTATATTAAATTATATATATTTTTTTTTACTATACGTATAGCACAAGTGGCTATAAATTATATACAAAAAAAAATTTTAAATATTGATTAGAACAAAAGTCTGTTCTATCTGTTACACTCTGTATAATATATACTTAATATTAAAACTTTTAAGTTTATTTTTGTTATTTATTATTTGTATCAAGTAATAATAATAATTTAGTGCATTATAATATGGTATATTATTGTTATCCACCTTCGACGAAGTCGTCAATTCGGGGAAAAATGAAATAAATACCAACACTAAAAATAAACAACTAGTTATCGGTCTCCTTCATTCTCTCTTTCTCTTACGGTTTTTCGTAACGCGTTTTCGTTACGCGTTACATTTTTTCTCGACTAGCAACCCGTGATAGGGAACTTTGTTCCAATAAATGTTGTAACAGTGTAACACCTAAATCAAAAAAATACTTATAGTTTTAAATGTCTATAAATAACACAGAAAGACCCAAAATATTTTTAAAATTACGACTTCATGTCTAGTAAATGATAATTTGAATATTTGGTGTGTATATTTCAAGTCTCTATATGACTATATATAGTCTCGTTTACTTTTGAATTATAAAATAAAAAAAAATATTTGATTTTGTGGGAAAATTTCAATTCTAGATTTTGAGATGAGCAATTACAATAATGTACGGTTTTTTTTCTGTCTTCATCTTTTTGAACAGTTCAAAGTACTTTCATTTTAGACTTTAAGTGTTGTTTCTGGTAGAAAATTGAATCTAGTTATTACTTTTGGTGGTCAAAGATAAAAAATTCCCAGTACTTTTCGAAATAACTGAGAAAAACAAAATTAAATACATTTAAACAGGGATTTTTAACAGTAGAGACTTGAAATGTTTATTGAATATATTATACCATTAACTAGTCATGAAATAATTTGAATTTTTTTTTGTTATTTAGGTACCTACCTTTAATGTTTGCTTTTTTTATTTATTTTCGATTTATCTAAGATACAGTTTTTGTGTTTTAGTAAAAAAAGCTTAACCATTTTATACTAGATAAAAGATTCCTCAAAAGTTGTTCATATATCAATTAACATTTTTCGACATACCATATTATACACATTATTTATTTATAAGCGTTTGAAGTTAGTAGTTATGCGTTATGGTAATAAAATAATCAGTAATTTCAAACACCTTCGTTGTATCAAGAATATTGTATATCTAAATAATATATTTATATTAAGTCAGTGGTGCAACCACGGAGGTCTGGATCCATAATCACCTCCCTCATGAGCTGTTTATAATAATTGACAAAGTTTATTTATTTAATCTAGACTATAAGTAAACGAACTGCCCGAGTAACGAGTTATTAAAAATGACGAGTTTAAACTTAAAATTATTAATATCTAAACATTTGTCTAATTAGTATTAAGTATTTTTTGTTGTTGCATATTTGTTCATCTGATATTTAATTTAATTTTTTGAATTAAATCTGAGCGTAAATGATACTTGACTAAAAAGAGATCATAGAAAACTAGGTAAGTACATTAAGGTACCTATATAGGTTTAAAGTCGGATTTGATGACGCCCAAACTATATTACCTACGTTTTCATTTTTATTTCTACGTTGAAAAATATTGATCGAACAACCCACGACCCCTCATCCGTTTTTAGACAGTTTTCAACAGTAGAATAATAGAATTCAATACATACCAGTGCGATGTTGTATGAATTATAAATAACCACGTGTGATGAATCAATAACGTGTACTGTGTACGGTGTACTGTCTCGATATTGGGCGTCGGTTCATTTATAATATCGTTAATGTCAAAATGTTCAACAGAATTGTAGGCATATCGCATACGGATACCTATGAACATGTAACTTGTAAGTAAATTGGTCTCTACTTATTTTATGGTATCGTGCGAATAAAATTATTTTATGTTTTCCAAGATATTAATCTATAAGGTATAACACGAACGTCTAAACTCTAGAATCGATATAATATAGTACCTATCTAATATCTATAATTTATAGTATCCGTGCCATTCCGTCGTCTAGAGAGAGTGGTAGACTTAGTGGTGCATTTAGACATTAAGTGCCCTGGGGCAACATTTTACCAACGCCCCAAGAAATATACATTAATATTGAAATTGTCTGTAAACAGCTCAAAACATGTCAAAATATATAGAAAATTTTATCAAATATAGGAATTGATAAAATAAAGATATTTTATAAATCTCAAGTGTCTACGGTTATTCGTTTTTGAATTACAACAAAATAAGAAAATCGTTACATGATAAATCGATTGAATGAATATCCAATGTTGTAAAAATTTGAACTTCAAACGCTCATAAAAATGTAATTTAACTTTCTTATAAATATTTTTTTTTTTTTGAAAAAGGTTGATATTTTTATAGGGAATCTTGTATTATATTTCATAATCTTAGATTGAAAAGAACATTTTTTAGGAATTTCTAACTCAAAATAATTTTGCAAATTTCCTTGATGTTTCCGATTTTTGTCAAAATTTTAACTTAAAATGCTTATGAAAAATAATTGTGACTATGGATTTTTAATATTTTTCAAATGACATTGTATTAATATATGTAGAGCCTTGTATTAAATGCCCAAGCTTTCTTACTCAACAAATCAAATTTTATTGATTTTCAAAGAAAAAAAAAGAAAAAAATTGAAAATTGATAAACAGTAAACAGTTCAAAACAAGTCAAAATATTTAGAATATTTTATGGTGTATAACAATGCTAATATAAATGTTAAGTAAATATTTCGTGCATCTACGGTAGTACAGTCATTAATTGTTTTAGAGTTACGCATAAACGAAAATTCCCGTTTTTCCTTAATTTTTATGTTATTTTTCCCGGCGATTTTGCAAACTATTGAACATTTTGACCTTTTGAATGCACCAACTAGATTCAATTTCCAATCGAACAAGATACTATTGAAGACAATCAAAGCTGTTTTACTGCCACAAACCATGAAGACAGACACAAAAAAAAAAAATAAAAAATTTGTAAAATTAATACATTCATCGCTCCTCTCTGAATCTAAAAACCATATGAGGTTCTCACTACTTCACTTGATAATATTCTAACTTCTAAATTTTATAAGAGGTCAATGCCGTCAATTCACTAACATTTTCCCCAGTATATCCCCATTCCCCACCTTAAATGCGCCACTAGGTAGACTACCAAAAAGTCCGATACATATAATTAGGTACAAGGAAAAATACGATGTGATGCACAAACGTTCCAATTAGTACCTAATAATATAAATTGTAAGTATTTGATTTAACTGACAAAATTAAAAAATAGTCTTGCCTACCAATATCGGTCATATCACAATTTTTTTTCACGTTTTTGAACACTTTTGGCAGCATACAATAATCAAATACTATTGCTTTTATCTTAATTACCTGGTTACAGTGGCGCCGAAGTCCATGCTGACGTCGGGCCGTGGCCCGACCTCTTTTTTAAAAAATGTGGCCGGCCGGCCATATTTAATTTACATCATAACTTTATTATAAGCATGAGTAAATTTAAACCGTGATTATGAATAAATTTATATTAGGGTACCTCTATATTAAATAATTAAGATATTGAGGCCGGGAAGTTTTAAAATTGCCTGACCACATTT